TTACAACCATAGTAAAGACCTAACGGATCTTTGGGGAATTCTTACTTGGAAGTGGAGGTAGGTGCTTCATCTATGGTTCTTAGTATTTGATTTCCTTTCCATGAGATCTATTTTCAGAAATTGCCTTTTATTCATTTGGGATGCATATGTGTCTTATACTTTGATTTCTTTACCTAACTTCATTCACATATGCTAGGTAAGAGTGCAACCTTAGGTTCTGTGAGAAAATTGAGAGTTATCTTGTGAGACCTAGAGTCGAGGCGAATTTGTACACACGCCAAGTGTGGTTATCTTTAAGTTCGAGTGCTTGGAGTATTGGCTTTACATTATGGTGCATTTTATTTGTAGTGACATAACTTTAGTTTTTGAATTGTGATTGTCATTCATTGGTTATTATTAGTTTGTTGGAAGTATTGTCTTAACGAATTTGTTTTGCAAGGAGCGTTTGTGGGTGTCGTGACTGGTAAACCCTCAGGAGACACAACTCCTCCTACTAGGGACACCTAGAGGTTTAAAGGCTTGTGGCACATGCTAAGTGCCATCGAGATTACTTGCGAAAGTGGTTTAGTTTAGTTTGTTTGTTTTATTTTATTTTTGATTTTCAATTTTGCTAGAGGACTAGCAAAAGATAGGTTTGGGGGTATTTGATAAGCCAATAATTTGTATATATTTTATGCCTCCTTTACTTATTTATTTTTTAATTTCCTTGGGTTAAATTAGTTGTTTTAATTGGTTTTGTGAGATTTGTGAAGGAACTATGGAAATAGGAGAAAGTGTTCTAAAAAGAGCAAAAAGATGAAGATTGGAGATTAATCAAGTCAAACAAGGAGAAATAAAGAAGACCCTATTTTAGAAGGAATCATACTTTTATAACAATTGTAATTATACCTTAAATAGGATTTTTAGGAGTTTTATAAATAGGAAGTTTAGGTCATTGTTCAAGGGACCACCCATCACCCATCATCCTCCATATTCATACTCATAGCCTAAATATCCAAAGGAGAATACGAAGAAAGCTTGTGCAACCTTGGCATTCTACTTGGAGAATTCGGTGTCTTCCATGTCTTCATCAACCATCATGATTCTCAATAAGTCCTTCATGAACTAATTCCTTTTACTAGGGCTACGGTGTAGCCTGGCTATGAATACTCAAATTCTTTTATATTGTTAATTTTATTTATCTATACATGTTGAGTGCTTATTACCGTTATTAATGTTTTCAATTAATTGGCCACTAATTGCATGATTGGAAGAATTAGGTTGAGACCGGAAGGAGATTCCTAGTAAATAGCTTCTTGTAACAAGTACCATAAATTACATAGCCGACTCGGAAGACTAGGTTATGGTTTGTGTAATCTTTATTGTTTTTCACAAATCTTAATAGGTTATGAGCTATCTAAATCCATAACTAGGAATAGAGTGGGTTGATGGTAAGGAATACAACTAATATAACTCGGAAGAAAGTATTGGTGAGGTAAGGAAAAACGATTATCAACATGTTAGATAATTAGAATTAACAAGCTAGAAGGATTTGGGTGGGATTAGCTAGGTGAAATCGGTGCCCTAGTGCTTTATCATCTTTATTTTCATATTTTACATTATTTCCTTAATCTCAATTTATTTTGTTTGCTTAATTAGATTTTAATCATCATAATTTTCTTTTCGTTTAATTCAAATATAATTAGAAATAAATCATTCTAGTATTTAATAGATTATTTTATCCCTGTTGGAACGATACTCTACTTACTACTATATTAATTTGAGCGATATTGTCCACTTGCAATTAATCACATCAGAGGTCTGCATGTAAGAATTGGTTATACTCTGTTGGGATGAAGATATTCAAGATAATTAAGAAGAACAAGCTATGTTTATCACAATACATTTCTAGATTGGCTGGTGAGAAATTGCATCAATTGAGCCACATTTATGGTGGAGAATTTGTTGTAGACCTTAGAGCAAAGACATGCTCTTGTAGGAGGTGGAATTTATGTGGAATACCATGTCCCCATGTAATCTCAACAATATTTCAAAGATGTGAAAACCCAGTTGCTTATGTGGATGATTGTTATAAGCCCCAAACTTATATGAAAGCTTATGGACCAGTGATTCACCCCATCCCTTCAATGGACCATTGGAATAAATGTGGCATTCCTCCAATTAAACCTCCACTTTATAAACAACAACTAGGTAGACTTAAAAGAGTTAGGACAAAGGAGCCTTGTGAGGTTGAAATACCAGCCCTCATCCCACCAAACCCTAGGCTTCCAAATTATATTGCCCCACCAGCCAAGAGTAGAAGGGTTTTCATTCAAATAAGATGTTGTGGATGCGGTCAAAGAGGCCATAATAGAGCAACATGTGATGGATAAAACAATGAAAACCAACACGTATAATTGTTAGACACCTTGTTTAGTTCTATGTTATGGCATACTTACATTAATAATTTTCTTATATACTTTTGTAGGTTAATACATCTTCAGTCTAAATGGAGCAAGGTTCTTCTTCACAACTAATACAATCTTCTTCACAACCAGGATCTAGCACAGTTAGAGGGAGAGACATAAGTAGAGGAAGAGGCATAAGTAGAGAGAGAGAGACATAAGTGGAGGAATAGGAAATGTTGCTCAAGCTACTGCTTACCCAAATTCACAACAAAGTGTTGGTTGCTCTTGTGCAAGAAGTAATGGACAAGGAGGCAGATGCATAAGTAGATGAAGAGACATGTTGTTCAAGCCACTATTTACCCAAATTTACAACAAAGTGTAAGCTTTATTTTCTCAATTATTCAATTTTTTATTGCTTAAGTCATTTTAAAACAATAAACATCAATAAATTTTTCAGGTGACAAGAGGTAATGGACAAAGAGTTTTACCATCGTCACATATTGACTAAGGAAGAGGTTTACCATCTTCAAAGCTAAATGCAATTAGAGGAAGAGGCTTAGGAAGAGGCATAAGTAGAGGAAGAGGCTTACCATCTTCACAGCCAAGTGTAAGTTTTTGTCATTTGGTTAAATTTTTACTCATTTGACTAATTAACAATTTTTCGACATTTACACACCTGACATTATTACATTGTTTAGGTGGCAAGAAGAAGAGGACAAGGAGAAGCAAATTTGGACAACACTTCTCATGATAATAACATGGCCTGAAAATAAGGGAAATTATTGCCAAGGGTGTCATATGTATTTTGGGATATGTACTTTTCTGGGTAGGGGGATTTTGGGTAATTGGTTCTGATTATGAGTTTGGATTGTGTAATTGGTTTTGAGTTTGAAGGGTTAAAACTATGTAATTTCTTGCCTATTTTGGGTTAGGTACTTTTCTGAGCAGGAGGATTTTGTGTACTTTGTCTAATTAGTTTTGAGCTAGAAGGGCTCAAACTGTGTAATTGGTTGTCTATTTTGGGATATGTACTTTTCTAGGCAGGTGAATTTTGTGTCCTTTGTCTAACTGGTCTTGATTTTGAAGGGCTCAAACTCTGTAATTGGAATGTTTATTTTGTAAATTGCCTGTGTGGTCAAGAATGAAATGGCTTTTAATTTGTTATACTCAGTGGAATACTAAGTTATGTGCATATCCCAGATATTCAAATAACCTCAATTCAAGAAACTTTGAGAACACTAATGGACATTCATTCTACAATTGAAATAGAAGTCTTCATCATTACATTCAAAGAAACAAACCCCTCAACAATTAAAACTTCCCACTCATCACAAATGTTATAAACAAACCCCATGAAAAAATCAAGGAAACCCACATTATCAATTGTCTTTGCCCATGACCCCATTCCAAAACCTTTTTTTCATGAACCATTTCTTTCAATTTATGTTGCAGTTCTTGTTTTTTGGCTTCCACATATCTCAATTGTTCTTCCTTTGCTCTACCTTCCTCATTCATTACTCTAAGTCTTCTAAGCAAACCAAGGACCACTTGTTTTCCTCTTGGACAAGTTTCATTATCCACCCACTCAAAAAATGCATACCGCTTCTGCTATTCTAGAAATCAAATCTTACCCAATTTCAGACCTCACCAAGCAATTATAAATGGAAAAGAACACTTTTGCAACCCAAATAATAACTTACCAAATTTTTATTATAAGCATCGAACCTTCTTCCCGGGTTCAAATTTGTCCATGAAGTTCGACGAATTATCTTTGTCCCACAGGCGTAGTACTGACTCATGCCACTTGAGGTCATTGAAATCTCCGACATCACAAACCTAGAGTTCTAATTTGGGGGTTTGGTGGAGCTTCTAACAGAAATGGGAGGGAATGCATTCCTATGTTGGCTTGGTTGTTTTAAAGGAGGGTTACTCACCTAAAAATATGGTTTTGTCCCTAAATTTCAAGGAATAATACACAGATTTTGACGGTAAGACCATCTTGATACAAAATAAAGAGTATAAGGACGGTTTAAATGAAAATTTTAGTTGGTGGACCAAAATAATATTCGAGTAATAGTTGGGGGACCATTTCAGTCATTAACCCAAATCCTAATAGTCCTGATTGAACACCATAAGACTTATTTAGATGATTTAAAAGTCTTAATTGAATACCACAAGACTTAATTATCCCAAAATAGTCATTTAAAATCCTAATTGAATACACCCCCTAATATTATTTGAATAAAAAATAAACTTCATTAGATAAAACTTCAACAAAACAAATAATGCTTAATTGCTATAGTGACCCTTGAAACATTGGTTAAATTTCATATTGTTCCTCAAAATATAAAGTGACCCACTTTGCCTCATTGACCAAATTTTGCGTTTCATTTTGCCCTACCTTCAAGTCTGTTAAAATAAGACACAAAATGTTGGTAAAGGGGGCAAAATTGGTTATTTAAAATTTCAAGGGATAATGTGATATTTGACCAATATTTAGGGTGCACTGTAGCAATTAAGGAAAAAACCTACGACACTAAAATTGTCAAAATCAAAATTTCAAAGGAAAAAAAAGTAATTCAGCCTAAAACATTTCGCGTCATGTAAACTTTGCTTCGGCAAACCAGCATAATTAGAGATTCGCCGAAACACTACTTCCCTCTTTGCGAGCAAAAATATTATAAACAATACAAATATCTCTCACGCTTCCTTCAATTTCGATCTCACCCATAACTCTCTCTCTCTCTCTCTCTGTGTTTTCATTCTCTGAAACGAAATCTCAGCGGAGGCAAAGCCACAGCCACAGCTCGAGCTGAGAAGAAGAAGAAGAAGATGGCGCCGCCAGCAGCAGCGGCAGCAGAAGGGCAAGTCCAACGCGGACAACAGCAAGGAGGAGGAGGGTTTGGTCAGAGCATCACTGGAATCATAAGGATTGCTGTGTTTTGGTACTTCGCTTCCAAATTCTTTTCTCCCAAAAAGCCTTCTGTCCCCACTCAACTCAGCACCAATCTCTTCCAAAAGGCTGAACCCCTGGTCTGAATCATCTCTCTTTCTTACTCTTCCTCTTTTTCTCATTCATTTTCTCAAATTTGTATGCTTTACTGAGGTTTTGGTTGTTTTTGAGATCTGGGTACGCTGTATCTCTCTTTATTTTTGCCGATTATTTGAAGTTCCTGTTTTTGTGTCTTCAACATACGTAAAAATAAATCTTTTGGCTACCAAATAACATGGCTTAGGGGAAGTATATAATTATAAATATTAAGGGCTTAAGCTGAGTATACACTTCCTCTACAATACTCGAAAGTTATGATTTATTACAACTGAATATAAATAAAAAGGACAGTTGTTTGACCTGCATGTCTATGACAGTTGGAAGTTTATTGAAACTCATATGGATGTTGAAGTGCTACTGTAGCAACTGTGTATATAGATAGGATGGGAATATTTTTTCTTCTCATAAATAAAAATGCTATGATGGAAATAAACGCACACATGGTTACATGTGCACTAAGATTGTGGAAGATAAATGGAGTATACAGAGAAAGATATATGTGGAAAAAAATGAACCTGGTGGTGAATGGTGTTATGGGGAAAAATCGCATTTCTGGTTTAAATCTTTATGTGTTACTGGTTTAAGCAAACTGCTAACTGTTATTTTTTCAGAGTAGGCTTGATTTGGCCTTTTATACCACTATTTTCCTTTAGAGCTTTTCCACTCTCATTGTCAAACTCAAATTTTTGATGATTTCTATTCAGGATATGTGGTTGTATCTTTCTGAACGTGAAAAGTTCAATGAATTCGGCAGTGAACGTGAACTTGTTTGGCATGAAACTAATATTCCATATGCTCTCTGGGGGCCAGAGAGTACCAGATCTCTTTCTATGAAGTACTATCCATCTGAGGTATCGCTTATAGACTTATCTATATGAGACATGATCAATTAATATTCTCGTTACTAGTTTCCAATAGGTTGCAAAGTTCAAAGATATGAAGATAAATATTTCTTCTTTCAGGCATTAAAGCACAATGGAAGTCTCTATGCTCATGTTTTCTTCGCACGCTCTGGTTACCCTCCAGACCCAAGTGATCCAGAGTATCAGCCTCTTGCTGTATTTGGAAAGACACACTGTAAGATTGTCTCCTGGAGTTCATCCATGAAGTTTCTTTTCTAATTCTTTCATTTCATCATGAATACTGGAATAAAATTTATCTTTTTGTTCATCTCAGCTATTGTGACACACCTGCCAAAGCCGAAAGCTGATAAAAAAAGGAGTTTGCTGGGGGACTCGAAAGACTCTGATGAGAAGGAACCATTAATTGAGGCACGCTCTTTTTTATTTACTGATTCCAATTACTGTTTATGAGTGAACTTCAAATTTTGATTACTAGAATCTCAAATCTGTTGGGAATTGGTATCATATACAATTGTCCTACATCAGAGAAGGGACAAAGGGGTTAATTAAGTGGTAGCTGTCCCAAAATTGTACCAAGGAATTTTGAGATAAAAACCCACACCTTGAGTCAAGAGAAAAGCTTAGGTGGATAGTTGAGTACTGAGGAGTATTGGCTGAGTGGGCCTGGACTTGATTGAGGCTCGAGTTCAACAGATTTTGGATCTCGAAAATATTTATGGGCCAGTTCACATATTGAAAGTAGGCTTTAAAAAAAATGAAGTACTTGTTAACAAAATAATTTCCTCTAATAATTAATATGCTTCACAAAAGAGGCTCTGCCTATTTTGACCATTACATTCCTATCTATTCCAAAAAAAGAACAAAAAAAGGAAAAAAAAAAGTCAATTCATAGAAGACTAGTGGTAACTGTATTCTCTTTATCTGTTAACCATACATGTAAGAATAAAAAACCTTTCTAGAGTTGGTTCATAAGAGGAGAAACTATCCAATCTATACAGTGTGGTTAAAGAGTATTAAGTCCTTACAACCCACCGCTGCATGCTATATTTCGTGTATATATCATATCATACTATCTTATGAAGTTTATTTGATTAACTGTTAGTGGTTGGTTTAATATTTCCTAAACTTTTAGCGATATAGATATCACTCTGTCAACATTTCTGTATATTCAGGCTGGTGATGTTTTTTTAATATCAATGTGTTTGTCTATCCGAAAATATGTTTGTCCTTGATAATAAAACATTGATTACCATCTTGTTCTTTTCAATAGTGAAATGTTGCAACATTGTTAACTTCGACTTCTCATAAATAATACGTGATGAAAATTTATGTTCTTTTCAATAGTGTTACGGTCATAAGTCCTAATTAAGTCCATGTTGGTTGTTTCAGGTAGTTGATGATACTCAAGGTGATTCTGAAGATAATGGTCCTGTGGAGTGGGTTTCGTATTGGAAGCCAAATATTACTATTAATCTGGTTGATGATTTTACGGGGTATGTTTTCTGGAGTTTGAAATAACTACAATGTTTGGCAAGTATTTGGCAGAATGTTTTATTTATAGGAACTTGCTTCGGAGTTTTAAAAGTTGAAATACTGTAGGTTGGTTTAGTATGGGATTTATTTTGCCAAAGGTCCTAAGATATACTAATTATATAAATTATAATTATTTTTTTATTGTTACCCAGAGAAAAAGTGCTTACTCCATATTGCTACCGTTTTCTGTTTCCCATGTTACAAGCATTTTTCTCCGATGAATTTTCCAATTCTTGGGGTTTTCCCTCTGCAGGTACCCGCATAATGCTGTTCCACCTAATGTTGCCCCTTGTATCCTTCTACTGTATTTGACGGTCATGCTTTCTGGTCTTATAATGAGATTGCTGGGTGATTATTTTCTCTATTGGTTTGAATGATTGTTAATCCCGGGAAATGCCCTCAAATAGCACTATTACTGTAGCAAAGTCCCATTATATTGATATCATCTCGATATGATGTTGATACTATCAATATTTTCTATTATTTTTATTGCAAAAACTCCCATATAGTCTTGATATGACATAAATAAAGTTCAATATTCTGATGATACTGTCGAATTGCTACAGTAATAGTGGTACATGATTTCATGCCATGTACAATTTTGTTCTTCAACTACGTTGATGTGTCTTGATTTGTCTCCACGCAAGCACTTACACACACTGACAAATACTGACATAACTTAGAATCTAGTCCTGGATATTTCTCCTGTTAATTTGGTTTCTGGTAATGGGGATTGCTGGGAATACACCGTAGCTTTTATATTTTCTATACAGTTGCTGCCATGCTAATACCCTTAGTTTAAGACATTGGCTGAGTTATATTTTTCCCTGCTGCATTTTGTTTGACCACAATGCTGCAATAAAGTGATGTATGCAGTTACAATAATGCCAGTTAGAAACATCATAATTTCCTGCCACTGCACACACTGAGCTTTCTTCAATTTCCTGTTTTCTTGTTATGGCAAATGAAAAATCAGAATATACTTGGAATCATCATTTGGGAATAAAGCTTTGGTTAGTCAAGGGGATTTGTATTCTTGAAAGCTATATGCATATGTATGGAGCATAGGTGGCTTTTCATTATGGAAAAAAATTCATATTGTTTTTTTATTTATATTTTATAAAAATATCCTTTGAGAATATATGATTTTCAGTATGTATGTTGATAAATTCTTAGATTTATCCTTGTTGCCATTGTGTTTTGGTGGTTGTGTGCAAGCAGTAACTTGACTGGAGCCTCTATATGACTAAAATGTGGGTTTCTGAGGTAAAACATGCTAAAGATTGGAGTATTGGGTTTCTTAACTCCAGTTTTGCAGACTTGAATCTTGAGCCTAGTACTGGGAACTACTTTCCAACTATTTTCTTCAACGAATTTTGGCTACTTCGAGATAAGATGATAGCAATTAATGAGACAGTGAAAGAATTGGCTCTTAACCTGGAGGTAGGTCCCATAAGCATGACCAAGTGGCAACTATTCCTGCAGATTGATCAGTCTTTCCAAATTCACCGTAGTTATGGAAGCATGCTTGAGGGTGAGGCTGATGAACTGAAGGTATTGCTTATTTTTGTTACTGTAGGAGATTGGCTTGCATTTGCCTTTAATAAATTCAATAGTCAGTTTTTTTGCTATACTTTGTACAGTACTGATTTTCAGTTGAAATTTGGTAAATTAGATTAAGATACTACATTTCATATATTGGGGAGTCCAAAAAATGAAACAAATGATATATAATGCATTGTAATGTGAGCACTGTAGGATGACTGAATGAGAACAGTTGGGATTCCAATGTTGTGATTAGGAGCACAAGTTGCTGCCATGGGAAGACCTGGCCCAAGGCATCAATTCTTTCTCTTCTTGTTATCGTTGGAGGTGGGTAATGTGAATAGGGCGAGGTTTTGGGAAGAGTGCTGGGTTGGGAAAACTGCTCTCTTTATAGTGTCACTATCCCCACAACACGTCCATGGCTAGTATGTTTGTTCTTCTTATTTCCTATCCACTGCTGTGGAGTTTTGGGCTTTGTATGAATCTTAATGATGAGGAAGTGGGGGAGTGTGCTTTGTTTATATCACAATCAGAGTGTTGGATGACATCTTGCTAGGCAAGCTGGGAGGATTTGGAAGTTGGAGTATTCAAGGGGCATTTTCTTGTAAATCCTACTGATGGAAGCTGATGGAATACCCTTATCTTTCTTCTTTTATCGCCTCTATTAATTTGGAAGGCCAAAGTACCTCCTAAGGTACATCTTTTCAGCTTGGATTATTGCTCATGGGAGGGTTTTCCATCAACTTTCATCAGTAGGATTGATAAGAAAATGCCCCTCAAGTGTCATGGGTGTTTCTTCCCATTGGTGTGTTACATATTAAAAGGTTGTTAGAGTACGGGTTATCTGTTCACTGCCCTGGCTGCTTTATGCTTATGGTTTAGGCTGTTTAGGGGGTCCAATTTGAGCTGGATTGTTCCACAATCTTGTGTGGCTTTATTCTGCGAGAGGCCTAAGTTGTTTGGCAATAGGAAGAGGGGTGTGGTTCTGGGGATAATTCTTTCGTTTCTATATATTCAGTTTGGAGAGTTGTTTCCTAGTGCCTTGTTGTGTTGTTGTGGATGCTTGTTTTTGCTGTTTTTGCTGAGAACTTTTTTAGTGTAGTGGACTTCTTGTCCTCTGTTTTTGTATTTGTTTGCTTTAATCAATGAATTCTGTTTCATATAAAATAAAATATGATTTAGTCATTTAGTGTAAAGTTACCTAGGAGGTACCTGTTAGAAATCCATGCAATATATAAAGTCTTAACCTTGCTCATAAATATGGTATAATGTTCATAAAAATATTAATATAAAAGAAATGAACGGATTTTTTAAGACGCCAGGGGGCAGAAGTGGAGGAGGTGTGGGAAAAGGCAAAGTACTGGGCAGTGTTGTGGGTTTCTGTTTCTCCTATTTTTGGGAATTCATCCCCTTCAACCATTTTGCTTGATTGGGCTAGAGTGTCTTCATTAGGATTGTTTTTCTCATAGTTGTAAATGTCTGTACTAGTTTTCTTGTTTCCTTCTATTATTGCTGGAATACTTGTCCACTTTTCTCTATGGTTTTTTAATGAAATAAAATTTCTCCTTTTCTTTAAAATAAAATAAAATATGTATATATAATATAAAAGAAAATCTGCATATACTGCCGCCTTTTAATTATTTATTATTGCAAATTTATGGACCTAGAACCTTAGGGGAAGTAGAGGATTGGGTAACTAGTTCACTTATTTTATTTTGATGTGATTAAATTGCTCTTTAGATGATTATTGAAACCTTTTTTTAGTAGTTAGTTTAATGTGTTTTTCTGGTGGAATTTCATTAATTTAATAATTTTCATGATTCTTGCTGCTTGAGCACCAATATATGCAAATTAATATTTAGTGGTTTTCTTGTCTTTTCAAATCTTAATTGATTTGTAATGCTTTACAGAGAGTGTTCTTGGAAGGAAATCCTTACCTCCTTGGAATCACAATGGTTGTTTCTTTACTTCATTCAGTGTTTGACTTCTTGGCATTCAAGAATGGTGAGTGATTGTTCTTTTAGTTTTCTTTTGTTTTATTTACTCATATATTTTGAGGATTATGGGATGGCTTGTTAGTCTAAACTTTTTCTCTGCAGATATTCAATTTTGGAACAAAAATAAGTCTATGGAAGGACTTTCTGCAAAGTCTGTTATTGTGAGCTTCATATGTCAGTTCATTGTCTTCCTCTATCTACTTGACAATGATACTTCGTGGATGATACTTATAAGTTCTGGAATTGGCTGCTGCATTGAGTTTTGGAAAATTGGGAAGGCTATGCACATTGAGGTATCAGTTTAAGTTTGCAACTGTCACAAAGTATTAGGCCAAATAACTTACCACACTTTGTCTTACTTTTTTTTGGATAAAAGCTGTCTATATGTGTTTATAAAGGAGACTTTGATTTAGTTGGTTGTGAGTAGCTTTCCTACAAATTAAAAAAGGATTTTCTGTGGGATGTTAAGGTAGAAAGGAGAGGGTGCAAAGATTGGGTATTTAGGAAGAGAGTTATTTTGGCATTGATTTTTCGGGAAGAGAAGCTGGGAAGAGAAATATTTAGCATAATATTCGGTTTCTTAAGAAAGGTTTTGACACGTGGTGATTCTATACTTGTTACAAATCTGTATGTTTTCCAAATGTGAGATTTGTGGATGCTTATGTTTCCAAGTATCTAGCAACTCCTTAAGAATGATCCTTAGAAAAAATCATCCTTATTTAGCCCTTGAAGTATCATTCCTACAAACAATCAGCCAATAACGGGAATAATTTAGCCTTTGATTATCATCTGGATTGTTTCAGTTTTGAGTTTGTCTATGTGTCGGGGCCCACCTTTGCAATGTGGTGTGATATGAACCGTCCATTTTCTGATTCTTCATTTAAGAGTCATTCATGCCAAAAAAAAAAAAAAGAAGGCAAAATCAGAAGTCATATATATCCATTTGATTGTCAATTATGATAAAATAAATTGACGAACACAATGTTTCCATTAGTGGTGAATGATGAAGATGATAATCAAATGGAACATGTGTTGAATTATCATCAAATAAGGAGATGAACACAATGTTAATAGACACTGAAATGTGATGATGATAATCAAATGGAATATATGTGTGTGTCTGTAGGGTGTCAACTCTTATTGAAGAGTGCTGTTATCTAATACGAAAATTGCCATATGTCTGATTTCCACCTATATGGCTATATCACATGATACTTTATGCTGTTATCTGCTAATGTTTGAAACTCAGTGTCGTGACATAGCTATTTAAAACAATCATCCTGATCTCTAGTTTACCTAGTTTATAAAATTAACACACTTGTGTCCTTTCCATCTCAAGATTGATAGAACAGGGAGGATACCTATGTTGAGGTTCCGAGACCGTGAGTCATATGCAGGAAATAAGACAAAAGAATTTGATGATATGGCGATGAAGTATTTGTCATATGTGCTCTTCTTCCTTGTTGCATGCTCCTCTGTTTACTCACTTAAGTACGAGCGTCACAAGAGCTGGTATTCTTGGATTCTCTCTTCACTCACAAGCTGTGTTTACATGTTTGGTAAGTTCTTGGTTCCATCCATTGTTTGCTATGCTAATATGGCCTCTTCAAATTGCATTACTTGTTAATTACTTGAAACCATTTCAATTCTCTTTATGATTCTTGTGTATACCTCACTTACTGAGGCTGGACTTCTTTGTGTAACTATAATCTAGGATAAGTTTATGCCTGGGCCCTTTTATTCAATCTAAAACCTTAGAATGAAGATACTGATGAGCGTAATCAAGACTTTGTAGTGAGAACTAAGTAATCTATTTTTGTCTTAAGCTATTAGCATTTTCCTTATCTATTCTATTGTTCTATATACTGGTTTCATTTGCTTTGGTAACCCTCTGATTTAATAATAGATTTTTCAGAATTGTGCTAGCATCTCATAATAGTGAGTTTACACAAAAATCAATCTTCCTATATTATGTATACTAGGTCGTTAACCTTATTTGTGGTAAAAATTTAATAATTGGTGCCCTTTGTTTTGAATACATTGTCATTGCAGGTTTTATTATGATGTGCCCTCAATTGTTCATTAACTATAAGCTGAAGTCAGTGGCTCATCTACCCTGGAGGCAGATGACTTACAAGTTCCTCAACACCATCATCGATGATCTATTTGCCTTTGTCATAAAAATGCCAATACTACATCGCCTTTCCGTCTTCCGTGATGGTAAGATGTGGTCTATTTCGTTTTATTTTCCTCGGTAATCATATACATAAATCTGTGTATATTTTGGGGTTGGAATTGTTTCTTCATTGAAATTTGAATGAGTTAGTTGATAAATCACATTGGTGGTGTGGAATTTTGTTCAGCTCCCATCATTTACGTATTTCAAATCACGACTTAGCTCATATTAAAAATAAATAAAAAACTAATTCACCTCCTGGAAGCTGCAGTCTGAGGTGGCACTATGTTGAAGTGAAGGGCATGAAACAGCTCATAATCACCTTGTTCGGGAAGTAGTGTGGATATAGTTTAGTTAGGATATGAGAAAAGGTGTAACATTGATCTTTTAAGGGGTGTAGGGGGTTTTGTCTTTTTAATCTGGTTTCTTCTTTGGTAGAACAGTGCTACTAAGCTAAAAAATCGGGGCTTGCCTTTTCTTTCTCAAGTTTTCCTATTCTTAGGAGAGGGGAAGTCGGTATTCCTGCATTAGGCTGCCCAGGCCAGTGGTTATCGTGTTACATTTTGATGCACTATAAGTCACTATATAATATTCTGAAGGCCAGTTGAAACTAGTAGTTTATTCTGTCTGTTTGTTTGAACTTATTTTGGTTTGTGTCTGGTTCACATATTCCCCCCCTTTAATTTTATTGTCTTCGTTCTTGCTTCACAGATGTCATATTTCTGATATACGTATACCAGAAATGGATCTATCCCGTGGACAAGAAACGTGTAAATGAATTTGGTTTCAGTGGTGATGATGAGGTCACAGATGGTGCAGTTGACACTGCTGTTAAGGAAGAAGAGAAGAAAACCAATTAAGCTTTTAAGTTATATAGATAATTTGATTTAATACAGCACATACTTTCAGTTAGGGTAAACATTATTCTAGTATTCTTGTTTTGCCCTTTTTGCTTTTTCCATTTACATTGGGTCTTGTTTTAGTAAGGATTTGGTTGTATGCCACGCCATCTCCTCTGGAAGACTTCTATGGCCAACAGGATAAGCAACTGTTACTTTACAGTTTCTGTGATATTATTTAGAAAGTTGCCGCTGGAGGGGGTGATCCTTTTTTGGTCTGGTTGGAGAAGGTGATCAAACTAGGTGGTTTGTCTTAAGTATGTAGTGTTTTCTTTAAATTTTTGAAGTCCGTTGATAATGCCATAAATTTTGATAATGCCTTTTGTAGTATTTTTCACCCTTTTTGGTTAAGTGTTGATGTTTTCAGAACAATTGAATGGCAGAAGATCATATTCATTTATCGTTTTTAAAATCTCCTTTAGTCCCAGCTCTGAATGCTTAAAAAGTGTATTAAGAAATATTTCGCTTTATTTAGATGTACCATGTTTTGATGGTCATTCTTGCGACATCATTGAGTTGATAGTCAATTTTGCAAGTTGAATTATTTGAATCTTATTACTACTTCCAAATACTTCAACCAACATGGTCTAATTCAGTGGAAATTAGCTTAGACTTTGACTAGAGGTCTCAGGTCTGAATCTTTTAGTTGTGTGAGAAATTTACATCTCTTTAATTCAAATTATCGCTTGTACTCAAAAGAAAAAAAAAATGTAAAATATTATTCCATGTTATTTTTTCTTTCTTTCGAATAATTAACAATCATCCATGCATCAGGTTTGAACTCCATATTATCTTAGTTTTGTGTGTGAATTTCCCCTCCTTGTATTTGAAAAGGAAAAAAAAAAGAAAAAAGAAAAAAGAATCTCCCTTCATAAATGATGTGTGCACTGTTGTTGCTCATGGTAGAAGAATTTTTATGCCCTTCCCAGTTCAGCTTGAATAAATATAGGGTACGTAGGCAACTTAGGCTAACTTAGGTGGTGCCGCAAGTTAATGATTTGTTCGTTTTATTCAGTTTTGTCAAGTCGAATTTGCTGACTTTCTTATGTTGGTAAAGTGGGGCCTGAAGCCCATTAAAACTTTTGCTAATTAGTGTGGTTTATAACTTGTGCTTGCTAGACTCTTGGAAAATAATTGTATTGTTGTGCATATAGATTTATGGGTTTTAAGCCTTTTTCAAGAGACTTTCGATTTTCCGGTAGAATTCAAATCTTAAAGTAGTTTTTGGAGTTAGGGTTAAAAGGGTATTTTGGTCATTCATGCCCGACACATGCCAGGTGTTGGACACGACACGGATTTCAAAGTGGAATTTTAGTCGGGTCCTACCATGAATAATTTGACTCTATGATTGTAAAACCATATTTTGAGTTGTTATGTATAATATTAATATGATCAATAAAGTTACAAGCTAACTTTTTCCATTATTACGAGGTTGGTATTAAATATCATATATGATCATTTATTTTGGAGTTAATGTGCTTGTGAGTTCTTTTAAGGACTGAATTTTCATCTTGTTTTGACTATTCAGTTGTGGTTCATAACATTTGTCTTATTTGTCTTACGACAAACATCTATTAACATCCTTTAATAGATATGACATGAAAGGACCCGCCTCAAATTCCTCTTTGAAATCTGTGACGAACCCTCCCTATTTGACACCATCCATTTGTCGGCTCAAATTACTAAAATACCCGTATTGCTCTAATTCCAAAACAACTTTATGGTTTGACTTCTACTAGAAAATCGGCCGAGCCTCCCTTGAAACTGGCTCAAAACTTAGAAATCTACCTGCACAGCAAACACAATTATTTCCCAAGTGTTCAACAAGCACAAGGTATAAATCGCACATCAATTAGCAAAATCAACTTGACATAACTGAACATAACAAAAAAATCATAAACTTGCGGTTGCACCTACGTTAGCCTAGGTTGCCTACGTACTCATATTGAAAAATCAAGCCACACGTAGTTCTTTCTACCAAAAATCACAATTCAAATAATATTGTTCAAGGTAAAACCAACAATTAAATTCTATAGTCATTCTTTACTTTGTTTTCAACCAACTATATAACCAAATATCATGCCCTGAAATTATGTACCTAACTATTCAATCAAGTTATCATTGTACACCCAAACACTTATATAACCAAACCTTTTACCTGAAAGCCTTACTTGCAATTGTTTGCATAGTGCATTTATTTTGCTATCACCCAACAAGAGGTACATGAGAAATATCATTAAATCCAAAGGCAACTGGAGAAGGGGAAAACTAGCCAACCACCTATGTAGATAAGTTGGGCAGGTGGTTTGGGATCTTCGCCAACCAGTGTATGTGCGGCAAGCTCCTGACATAGAGGCCCTTGCTAGAAATGCTTTCTCGGAAGTACGTGCTAAGTTTGACATGCACGTTGATGATGATAGTTAGGTCAATTGATACATTCTGGCCTCCATGAATGAAGAGAAACATAAACACCGTGAGCATGATCCATGCTGCTAACATCATGTTCCATCTTCATGAGATCTATAGAGAAAGCACACGCAACAAGCGCTACAGTGCAGTGTGTGAGCTTTTGAAGATCAAGATGGTTAAGGAACCACCAATTCACCAAGATGAACTGAAGATGATTGGACTCATTGAGCAACTGCAAAGTCTCGACAGTCCACTGGAGCATAATTTGGCCATTGACATCTTCCTTGCGTTCCTTATCCTAGTTCGTCATGAACTACAATATGGGGAAGATAGAGCACACTCTCTCAGAACTTCTGAACATGTGTGTGACTGCTGAAAGGACCTTTAAGAAATAAGGAGGGAATGAGAAGGTAGCTTTTTTTATGAGGGATCCACCTCTTCTACCAAGGCTAATCAAAAAGGCAAAGGCAAGTTCAAAGCTAGGAAGAAAGGGAGCCACGCTCTCAAGACTAAATGAGGTGTTGAGAAGAAGAAAGAAGATTAGAAGGAGGCGAAGGTACTATGTTCCCATTGAAGCAAAGATGGACATTGGAAGAAGAACTACTAGGCTTATTTGGCTAGCTTGAAGGGCAAAAAGGTTGAAGTGTACATATCACTTTGCTAATAAACTTTAAACAATAGTTTATACCTTTCATGAGTCTAATTAACAATGATCTATTGTAGGTCATGTTGCTATAGAGACTGGGAACAAGTAGGATGCTCATGGAGGATGATAGTGCTGAGATTTGGATAATTTAGCATGTTTCTTTTGTTTATCTCATGTAAGTCTTAATAGTACTTATGAACTTATTTAGTTTATTTGGTTATGTATAAAGTACTTATTCACTATCTTCATGTTTTACAAAATAGTCTTATGGTTTGTATGACAAAACCACTAGGTTTCTTTATATATATGACTATTCATATTATGGTAATATGATGAATGAACTCTTTATACTTAGACTATTCATATTAGTGTTCTTACATTAATTGTTTAGAATATTGAGATGTGTTACGATCTTATAAAGATCCATATATTAGATAAATCTTACAAAAGTATAATTTATAATGTTTAGACATCACAACCAAGATAATATTCATAGGACAAGCAACACATGGTTCTTTGAATCAGATCCAATTTGTACCTATGAGTTACATCTAAAGGTTGAAAAATCCTAACATTTTAAGTTTAGAACTAGAATAGAAATCACAAGAAATCTAAGTAATAATGGAATTGAATCCATTATTTTTTCTATAACATTCACCGATTATTGCTCTCGGTTGGACTAAATCAAGCATGAAATCCAAGAGTTTTAGGATTTCAAGAAATCAAAGAAAAAGGGAAAACGTTGAGAGCATCAACACCCCTTGAAATGTTTTGAGGGTAAATGCTTGAATAAAACGTCTCTTAAAATTAATTAAGACTTAGAATATCTCAATGAATGACCTTCACCATTATAATCGCTCTATACATTCTATGCTCGAAGGATAACAATATAAAGTAGAAAGGTCCAATTGAACGATAAACAGGGTTGAAAGTATTGTCTTAAACATGAGCTTATGGCTTTATAGTTGATAAGTGATCTTGGGGGACAACTAAAAGATGTCATGTAACACCTCGTCCCAAAAATCACTGCTCAATAGATTATTTATTGTGAAATTACATTTTTGCCCTTGGATGTAAGGGCACTTTAGTCACATTGTGTTTGGAAACTGTTAAGGCCCAAAAAATCCAATGGTGGGCCCAAATATATTTCTAGCCCAATACGACACCTAACTTGGGAAGAAACCCAACTTGGGTACGCAAGAGTTCATCATATGCGCTTGCACACGTTTCACGCTAAGCAAATGAGCAATACGTCACGCTACAAGCTTAAGTGAGTATAAGCCACGCGATTGCTTGGGGCTTGCTGAGAGGGCTGTGGTATGGATGGTCACGAGGATTCACGAGGCCCATTAATGGGCCAAGAAGTGGAAGTTTTGGGTTGCTTGGGAGCCCCAAAACTCAAGCCCATTTCTTGAGCCCAAATATGTGGGTAAGCATGAAAGAAAGAAAAGGGTAGCTCATTACCCTAGAAAATTGGCCCATCACCTTAGTAAAAATAGTCCAATGTTTAGACATCACAACCAAGATAATATTCATAGGACAAGCAACACATGGTTCTTTGAATCAGATCCAATTTGTACCTATGAGTTACATCTAAAGGTTGAAAAATCCTAACATTTTAAGTTTAGAACTAGAATAGAAATCACAAGAAATCTAAGTAATAATGGAATTGAATCCATTATTTTTTCTATAACATTCACCGATTATTGCTCTCGGTTGGACTAAATCAAGCATGAAATCCAAGAGTTTTAGGATTTCAAGAAATCAAAGAAAAAGGGAAAACGTTGAGAGCATCAACACCCCTTGAAATGTTTTGAGGGTAAATGCTTGAATAAAACGTCTCTTAAAATTAATTAAGACTTAGAATATCTCAATGAATGACCTTCACCATTATAATCGCTCTATACATTCTATGCTCGAAGGATAACAATATAAAGTAGAAAGGTCCAATTGAACGATAAACAGGGTTGAAAGTATTGTCTTAAACATGAGCTTATGGCTTTATAGTTGATAAGTGATCTTGGGGGACAACTAAAAGATGTCATGTAACACCTCGTCCCAAAAATCACTGCTCAATAGATTATTTATTGTGAAATTACATTTTTGCCCTTGGATGTAAGGGCACTTTAGTCACATTGTGTTTGGAAACTGTTAAGGCCCAAAAAATCCAATGGTGGGCCCAAATATATTTCTAGCCCAATACGACACCTAACTTGGGAAGAAACCCAACTTGGGTACGAAAGAGTTCATCATATGTGCTTGCAAACGTCCCAGGCCGAGCAAATAAGAAACACGCCATGCTACAAGCTTAAGTGAGCCCAAGCCGCGTGAATGTCTGGGTCTTGCTGAGCAAGTTG